ATTGGAGAGACAGAACACTGGGGACAACCCAAAATGTGGGATTTTCTTTTTCTTTCACTTTGATAATGGTAAACAGGACAAAAAGAGAGGGAAATCTTCTTAACGTGGGGCACAGACAGCAATAAAAACTGACAAGCAATCTAATCCCTCTCCACTCTATCCAAAACTTCAAAAAAATTGCCTTTAGTTATACTTTAACCCCTTCACGCCTAAGGGTAAAACAAATCTTAACGCCTAAGCACAATTTTGCAACTTTGACATGTGTTAGTAAAACCGTACATATCATCACAACTACTTTGTACATCCAGATGGATTATACCTTATTTTTTTCAGGACAAATTGGGCTTTCATTTGGTGGTAAATGGTAATGGATATCTCCTGATTTTTTTTAATATATCAAAGGAAAGCTGGCCCAAAATCCTTTTTTTTTAATTTAGCTGTGTGGTTCTTGTTACTACCATAACCTACCACCAAAGAACAACCCAAAATTAATTTTCCAGCTCTTGATGATTGCAGCAATACCATATATATGTGTATGTTATTTGTTGCTTGTACCCACAGTACAGCCCAGAAACAATACACATTTTGTTTTTTTTTACCTAAAACACAAAGACACTAACACTGACACCAATTTTTTAAAAATCTGACCTTTGACCATGACTTTTGACCCTGACCTTGACCCAAACACTAACCCTGGCACTGAACTAGATCAAACCTTGATCTAGGTATATTTTCTTTGTTTTCTTTTACTTTTTAATATTAATTTATTTAATCTTTTTTTTTACAAACAGTTGTGTTTTTTTTTCTCTATGCAAGGAGACAGAGTTACAATGTATCTCTCTCCTCCATTCAGAGAGAAAAAACCCAAGTGGGGCGGGCTTCACAGTGACCGATCACTGTGATAGCCAATCAGAGGCTATCACAGCGATCATGTGACCCGGAATTGGAAGTCCCAGGTCCCGATTGTTAGAACAGGACCCAGGCTCTCAGTGACACCCCGGTCTTTGTGCTGGGAGTGCGCTGTGCGGCGTGCTCCCAGCACAAAGACAGGTATGCAAATATGCGGCCCCATGGAAAAAAGCCCAGTTCTGTGAGGCCATATATTTGTGTGACATCAAGAGCAAATAGTTTATAATGGAAGGTTACAAGGCAACAAGTCAAGGCATGGTACCTGTGATAGTGAGGGATTGCCATCCGGTCTCCCTCCATAGCAGTCAGTCTCCCATGGCAACCCAGGAGCAGACCAGCATCATGGAGGCCCTCACCTTGACTAATAGTACGATAGGAAAAGGAGGAGTTAACTAAGAACATGTAGGAGATGGGCGGGCTTTCATTCTATTCCTGGGAGGGAGGTAACTGAGATACACTGGCTGGTTGGGGGGCAACATGGTTTGGCCAGTTGTCCCTAATGCAACACATGTAAATCACTGGAAGTAGAGCAATGGGACAACTCTTGGAAAAGGAACTCCGCTTCATACTACTTGCAGTATCAGCTCATCTTTAACCCCTTCACGCCTAAGGGTAAAACAAATCTAAATGCCTAAGCACAATTCTGCAACGTTGACATGTTAGTAAAACCGTACATATCGTCACAACTACTTTGTACATCCAGGTGGATTATACCTTGTTTTTTTCAGGACAAATTGGGCTTTCATTTGGTGGTAAATGGTCATGGATAGCTCCTAAATTTTTTTTATTATTAAAGGAAAACTGGGCCAAAATAGTAAAAAAAATCATTTTTTTATATTTAACTGTGTGTTTCTTGTTACGACCATAACCTACCACCAAAGAACAACCCAAAATACATTCTCCAGTTCTTGACGATCGCAGCGATACCATATATGTGTATGTTATTTGTTGTTTGTACCCGTAGTACAGCCCAGAAACAACAGTGCGCATTTTGTTTTTGTCTTTTTTTTTTTTTTTTTTTTTTTACATAAAACACACTGTCACTGACATTGACATTAACACTAACTGACACTGATACCAATTTTTTTTTTTTAAATCCTGACCTTTGACCCTGACCTTTGCCCTTGACCCTGACCTTTGACCCTGACCTTGACCCAAACACTAACCCTGGTACTGAACTAGATCAAACCTTGATCTAGGTATTTTTCTTTATTTTTTAATATTTATTTATCTTTTTTTTTTTTTTTTTTTTACAAACTTTTTTTTTCTCTCTCTATGTCAGGAGTTTGAGAGATACAATGTATCTCTCTTCTCCATTCATAGAGAGAGAGAAAACAAGGGGGCCGGGCTGCACAGTGATTGATCACTGTGATAGCCAATCAGAGGCTATCACAGCGATCACGTGACCCGGAATCGGGAGTCCCGGGTCCCGATCGTTAGAACGGGACCCGGGGCTCTCAGTGACACCGCGGTCTTGGTGCTGGGAGCGCGCCGAGCGGCGCGCTCCCAGCACAAAGACAGGTACGCAAATATGCGGCCCCACGGAAAAAAACCCAGGTCCGTGAGGCCGCATATTTGTGTTACGTCGGCGTCAAGGGGTTAAGTAGGGAGACTGCCTTCAAGCGGTAATAAAGTCCACTTTGCAACTTTTACCTACAGGTAAGCTTCTAATAAAATGGATATCGCATAAACATGCACCATTTAGGAGATATTCCAGCTAACAGCAGCCCATGATATCACCGACACATGCACTCTGAAGGAACGGCATATCCGTGCTGTTCCTTCAGAGCCCTGTGACGTGCCCGTGATGTCATTGCAGCTCGGCCAATCAAACAGCCAGAGCCTGCGAAGCCAGACCTAGTGAAAATAGAATCAGTGGAGAGAGGGCAGCGCTGGAGGGATCTTTTCTAAAGGTAAAACTGACATAATGTGCTAGTATGCTATGCATACTAACAGAATATGGCTTAAACCTGCAGGGGGGACCCCTTTTTTTGTTAACTTTACTACCACTTTAATGTTGAACTCTGCACATGACCGCAGTTTCCACCTAATCCCAGGCATTGATGAGTGTGCCTTTGGGCAAACGTACCCCTGATGTATGGGTGTGTTAGGCTCCGCCCACAACATGGTGTAGTCTGGATATTATACGGTAAAACGTCTGGTGCCAATTTCTCAAACCGTACACAACACATTTCTATTCACCTTTACTTAGGACAGGAAAAGGTGGAATACATCAACACATGACTTTTGAGCTCTGACAGTTTCAGCACCCAGAACTTCTGTCCTAGTGGTTTTTCATGCCAGTAAGGATTAGCATAGAACACCATTAGGCTCATATGGCATCCCGGTACACAGCCTTCTCTCAGAGAGGTGATACCCTTTAGGCCTCAAACCAGGCACATTGCTTTCACAGTAGCAGCTCTCCTCAGAAGGGATGGTGGGTGACAATACTGTCTGGACTGACTAGGTCTAAGGCTGGCCATACACTATACAATTTTTTTACAATTTTCTGTCCAACTTCTGCCCAATTTCCTTTAGATTTACCTTCAACTATGTAGTGCAAGGGCCTGCCTAAATGGTAAATCTAAGGTGGCCCTCATACATATATACAATTTTCTTGAGAATTTTTCTTTAGATTTACCAAAAACCATATAATAGGAGATCAAACCGAATCAACACTTTCAATTACATTCAATTAGGCAGACCCTTGCACTACATAGTTGAAGGTAAATCCAAAAGAAATTAGGCAGAAATTGGACAGAAAATTGTAAAGTGTATGGCCAGCCTAAACCAACATTCTCAAGAAAATTGGATAATGTATGGCCAGCCTAAGACTGTCCATACATTATCCAATTTTCTTGAGATTTTTGGTTTAGATTTACCAAAAACCATATAATAGGTCAAACCTAACAACACTTTCAGTTGTATCCAATTAGGCAGGCCCTTGCACTACATAGTTGAAGGTAAATCTGGAGCCTTTAACTGCAATAAAACCTAACAGGAGTTTTAATCCTTCTCCACTCAGTCACATATAAAAAAAAAAAAACGGTTGGGCTATAGATACCTAATTTATAGAAGTTTGAAAATAATGGATAAGTTGTAACACAATATACACAGAGTGAATGGTTAATTTAACCGCTTATCCGCCACCGTATAGCAGATATACTGGTACACGGCGGCACAGGTGCGCAAAATCACGTATATATACGTGCTTTTATATCAGAAAAAATGATGTAGCGCTAACACCAAAAACAACCTCATAAAATATACATAAAACATATATATATTGGTGACATATATAGGTGACACAACACAAAAACATAAAGTGACTGTTGACAGTGATGGCTGATCATACAGGTGCAGCCTGTGGGCTGTGATTCCTACACATGAACTGTGATCTCACAGGTATCAGGGATACGTTAAAGAATGTGATTTAAAAAAATAAATAATAATAATATTTTTAAATAAAACCTCCAGTGACCACACGCCTAGGAAATTGAGATGATCTCAATAAGATCCAAAAACATATATAATAAGGTGCAAGAATAGTCCAAATATGACTATATAAGTGCCCAAAGAAGGACCCTGATATGGTCCAAGTGATACTATAAATAAAAAAGTCCAATAAGGACCAATATATCACAAACCAAAAAAATTATAATAAACAAATGTGTACACATACTAATAAAATGAAAATACCAAAAATGCAAATCAATGTGCAAAATTGACAAACACACAAATGCATGCATGATAGTGCTTAAAAAATGTCCCAACATGAATATAATGAAACTTCAGGAACAACCCATGTTCCTTAAATGCAAATAAAGAAAAACCAACCTGGTGTTAAAAAACACCTGATCTTCCAAAAACACCCGTGTTAAAGTGGGTAATGACATGTATCCATAAGTGGCTGAATTACACGCTCTCCTCAATGCTTCGACCGCTAGGGGTCAAAACGCTTTTGGATCACTATATAGGATCCTCCATGCAAGAGACTCCTCTGGAGTTACTCCCCTTCTCTCCACAATGGTCTCCCCCTCACGGACAGGTAAAGTGGAAATTCAACACTCTCCAGGTAAGATATGGCCAGTTATCTCATTAGGACACAATAAAAAGCTTCCATAGCATAATACTGTTTTATTTAATGAGGAAACGTAAACCCAAATCTCCAATCTCTCTATATACACTCACATTCTCCAATTCTTGTCCAGAGCATAAACACAGCAAACCTCATGTTTCTGGGTGTAGTACATGGGTGTAGCAAGATGGCGTCCAAAACCGGAAGCACGTCACTGCGCTGCCAACACGTTGCGTCATGTTGGTCACGTGACTTCATCAGGGCTAACCTGATCAGGGCTAAAAGTTGCTGATCGCTGCCATTACTAGTAGGAAAAAAAAAATCCCAGTGTATGTAAACGCTATAACTGTCACATAAACCAATTAATTTACACGTATTGAGATTTTTTTTTTTAGCAAAGACATGTAGCAGAATACATTTTGGCCTAAATTTATGACGAAATTTAATTTTTTACAAAATTTTTTTTTACTGGACATGTTTAATAACAAAAAGTACAAAATGTTTTTTTTTTCTCAAAATTGTTAGTATTTTTTTGCTTATAGTGCAAAAAATAAAAAATGCACAAGCGATCAAATACCACCAAAAGAAAGTTCAATTTGTGGGAAAAAAGGGACGTAAATTTCATCTCGGTGTGGAGTTGCATGACCGAGCAATTGTCTGTTAAAGTAACACAAAAAATGGCCTGGTCATGAAGGGAGTAAATCCTCTGGAGGGCAAGTGGTTAAAGGCAGTCTTAGTACACATGAAAATTAATCTTCATTTCATGGGAGATATCCTTTACAATAAAATCCTCCCTCTTATTGCTTTGAATGATGTACCAAACAGATAAAGTGAAATCTATTTTGGAAGAGGCATGCATGCAGAGATAAGCCTGTGAACTTGAATTTTCCGTTGCCAAAGATAAAATCTAAATAGAAATAACATTGTCTGTTAAGTCAAATTGCCGTTAACATATGATTTTTTTTTTGCTGTAAAATAGTCTTGGGGTTTTTACAGACTCATGAACATGACATTTCTGGGCTGATATAGTTATTTTAGTCATATGCATGCTTTAGGCCCCGTTCACATTAGTTAGGGCTGCGTGGCCCGCGTTTTCATGGGCATGGCAGCTCATTCATTTGTATGGGCTGCTGTGCCCACGTTTCATGCACGGGAAAGGTGCATGCACCATTTCCAAAATGCACCTGTATGGAAACCGCATGGACTTTTTGACTATGTGGTTTCCATGCTGCTCCTGCGATCATGATGCAGCATAAGATGCGTGGGGTTGCCATGCAGAATGAAGAGCACCCCCCCATGTGTCTCAATAGAAATGTGATGCGGCTGCAGATGGCTGCGGGTGCAGGAACAGGTGTGATTCCTGCACCTGCAATCAGCCATAGCCGCGGGGCTAGTGTGAACCAGGGGTTATACAATATAATGTGTAAGGAATCGCTCACACTACATAACCATGCTGAATACATGGCCTCTGGTGTGTACTGGCAGGTATGGTGCCAATGTACTGATCCTGGCATAAAATACTTTTTTTTTTCAAACTTATTTGAAATGTAAAAGTGACATTTCTTCATTTTGTAGTCACACAGTGGCATTGCAATGTGGTAGTTTGGGTTGCAATCCGCTGTCCTGTAAAAAAGCACTACATGAAGTGGTGTGAACCAGGGGCGGACTGACCATTTGGAAACTCGGGCACTGCCTGAGGGCCCGGGGTCAGTAGGGGGCCCCCATGAGATGCCCCTGGTACCTTTTTCATAGGCTTTTTTGAGTTTGGGCAAGGACACAGGGGCCCCATGATCCCCTACTGCCCGGGGGCCCCATGAGTTGTCAGTCTGCCCCTGGTGTGAACTGACACCATAGCAAACAAGGCTTTTTGCCTGGTCTTGTGCTGGGACTGTGCTGGACAAGGCTGTTTAGTGCAAGCCCCACCACACCTAGTGTGAACGAGCCCTAAAATGTACCAAAGCTATTGACATTGGAACGGTTCTAGCTTTATAAATCCTAAAGCAATAGAACTTCAAGTATTTAAGTGAAGCTGCAGACAGCCAAATAAAACATTGTTTTACCTAATGTGGGGGATCAGTTTCATCCCGATTTGCCAGCCTCCTTCATCAGCCATTGTCCAATTCCAGTAGCAGGAGTGCTGTTCTCTGACTCGGCTCCAGAGGACCTGCACCCTCACTGAAGATCTACACTCCTCACCCAAGATGACCATATCCGATGCCCCTATCTCATCATGCTTAATATTGCTGTCTTAATTGAGACAACTTTTTCTGATCAACCTATCTAACGCCAGATGACTGTGCCAGATCTTTTAGTCTCATTCGAAAAAACAATGTCTGAGCCCTCAGCCCTTCCACCTGTATCTCTTGAAACTTGATTGCCATCTATTGTACAGATGTCTTTGCTGCCCTTGCTTTGTACTGTTGCTCACATGTCTGTTGGATAGAACTTCTAATTTAAAGATGTTGGTTCCTGTTGTGAAGACATTTCTGGTTGCTGGGATCACCTGGAGGTTACACTCAGCAGAGTGACACCATCACTTTCATTGGGTTATTAAACCCAGTTGAGCAAATGTTGCATTTTAGCGCAACACAGGTCAATGCAGCAGTATGGTGTGAACAGGACACATTGGAAATTTTTGTTTTCAGATGTCTTTCCATTGATCTGTGTTTTACAACTGCGCTAAAACGCAGATCAATGCACTGGTGTGAACGAGTCCTACTTGTGAAATACTTGTGAAACCAACCAATGTTTGTTTTTGTAATATCGGGATGAGAATAAAAAACACCAAAAATTTGCTTTAAAGGCCCTTGAGGATGGGGCTTCAGAACATGAAAAAAAACACATAAGTGTTTTATGTTTTGCATGTTTTGCAGAAACGCAGTACAGTCCATTTAACATGATTTCCTAAGAGACATGTTCACACCTGTGCATTTTTTGGAAAGGGTCAGGGACTCTTTTGAATGCAAAAAGTTGCGTTTCTGTTTCTTTAGACTTCAATGGAAATGCTGCAGAAAAGCATGTATTGCATTTTATTTCAGCATTTGTGATGCATTTCTGATGTATTTTGCATTTTAAATCTGCCTAGCAACAAGAAAAATTAAAAACGATTACCTCTCCCCCCCCCCCCCCCCCCCACACAAAATGCATCGAAAACGTGAATGTAAAAATGCAATGCAATGCAGAAACAGCTCAAGCGCAACCTGCATAGGTGTGAACCTAGATTAAATAAAGAAAAAGGCAAAGGCCTTGTATTGGGTCTCTTACTTGCCATTCATATCAGGATTTTTCTAAATGGCATGACAAATAAAGAGGAGTTTGTAATAGAAAGTCTGCTCCTTGATTGCTGAACAAATATTTAATCTGCTCATTGTATTTGTGAACTGGTAAAAATGGTCAAAAGGACCACTTACCCATTCACTTACTAACATTAAAGTGAAAGTGGGCCATTCCCAAACTCACACTAACATTACTGATCTAATAAGAAAGAATACTTATTAGGACAATACCTGATAAAAAATATAGCACATATGAGACCAATAAAAGAAGGATCTCCATTGGATCCCCTAGGTGACTAGTGGTAACCCAAGTGCAGGGCTGCTGTTGGAAACCATGGAGCACCATACAGCCAACCTGACAGGGTCCCGCCAAAGAAAACAGTTTACTATGCTTCAGTTATGAATGAACACAGTGAATGATTCATTCATTGTGTTCATTAAGGAAATCAAGGGGCTAGTAAATGTGACATGTTTACCGGACCCTTTCCCCACGCTCCATGCTGAAGGATCCACTTGTGTGCTTGCAGCTGGTGGTGGTGAGGAGAGGAGGGAAGCTGGCAGCACTGTTGGTGGTGGAGGCACATAAGGGTGCCTGGGCAGCAGGGGGAAATGTATGGTGCACAGGGAGGGTGATGGGTGCGGTGGGGGGGGGGGGGGCAATGACTGGAATTGACCCCTGTATGGCTCTCTGCAGCAGCTGAAATCCAGCGGGTGGGAGGGGAAAAGACTGCTTTCAGCTGCTGCAGAGAGAGCCATGCAGGAGATTTGCTGCAGTAATTGCCCCTCTGCCCCTCAATCACCCTCCCTGCCCACATCCAATTCACCCAGCTGCCTAGGCCCTCCTGCTGGCTTGGACCCCGTACAGGAAGACTGGTGGTACCCCCTTATCCACAGCCCTGCCCAGGCAGCAGGAAGATTGTGCTTTGGACCACTTTAGTAGTTTTTTTTTAACCAGTTCTGATTCATTACCCAAGTCAGCCACCTCTTCTGGGCAAACCCAACATCTGAGTGAATTGGCAAGATCTGCCTTTGTAAATCAATTCAGTCATCACCCATGAAGGAGTTACTTGTGGTAATTGGGTACCAACTGAGTGAAAAATGAACCGCTTCCCGATCGCCCTATGCAGATATACAGGGCAGCAGGGGTGCGCAAAATCACATATATATATATATATATATATATATATATATATATATATATGTGATTTTGTGTTTCCGGGTAGGGGGCGAACGTGGGCCGCACACCGCGCACCCTACCCGTGCCGCCATTTGCAGCCGCAGCTGTCAATCACCGGGTCCCAGCCAGCCATCCAGCACAGCCATCCAGAGCAGGGTGATTACAGTGAAGCCCACACACACCACCCCCTCGTAAAACATTCCCTGCACACAACCCTTTGATTGCCTCTCATGTTAACCCCTTCCTGCCCTTACTACAGTCAGTGCTTTTTTTTTTAGCACTGATCACTGTATTGGTGTCACTGGATGTCAGTGAGACCGAGTCAGTTCCCCCCCAGTGTCTGAATGCCCACCTCAGTCCCCCTATAAGTCGCTAATCGCCACCATTACTAGTAAAAAAAAAAAAATTCCAGTATCTATACCGCCATTAGTAAACGCTATAATTTTCACGTAAACCAGTTCATTTACACGTATTAGGATTCTTTTTATCAAAGACATATTGCAGAATACATTTTGACCTAAATTTATGTTGAAATTTCTGATTTTTAAATTTTTTTTACTGAACATGTTTAATAGCAAAAAGTCTAAAATAATGTTTTATTCTCAAAATTGTTGGTCTTTTTTTTTTATAGCGCAAAAAATAAAAACTGCACAGGTGATCAAATACCACTGAAAGAAAGCTTAATTTGTGGGAAAAAAAGAACGTACATTTCATTCGGGTGCAAATTTGCATGACCGTGCAATTTTCAGTTAAAGTAATGTAAATGTTTTTCTTATTAAGGAATAGACTGCAAAAACAGCATAATAGCATAAAGTATAGTATACAACATAAAAAAGGCACATATGTAGTAACCATTCCAATAAAGTACAATCATGAAAGACATAAAAATTTAAGTACATGAGCAATGTAGGCAGGAAGGTAAACAGAGCAATAAGGCTACCTACAGAGGAACACTATCAATTAAATCATGAATATCCATCAGTCAGACAATAAATGTTGATGAATTTTCCAAACATCCCATTTTCTGTTGAATAAGTGCATCCTATCTAGTAACGTATATTGAATGCATACCAAAAGCATCACCGCATCGACTCGAGCACGGACATTTTTTAAGCAAGTGTGCATGCAGCCTTAATATATGTACTGCTCAAAAATTTCAGATTTTGTTTAATCTGTTCCATGTTTTATTTAACAAACTACCTTTCTGATCATTGTAGTATGTCAAACTTACTAAATAATTGTTAGTTCTGGACATGACAAATTAAAATTGTAAGATATCCAAAAGCTGAGTGCACCCATTTTTTTCCGCTAATATCACACAAATGTTTTATCTGATTGAAAAGAAACCTTAAAACGGATTTGTCTGTGGTGAATGCAGAAGAGCAATCTTCTATATCAAAACTGAGCTGTTACTGTTTGTCAAATTATCTTATAGAATGTGATTGTGGTTTCTGATTTCTAAATAAAATGGAAAAAACACAGTAAATCTCCAGTTTCTTCACAAAGGAAAAGTGTAAAATGTCTGCAAATCTGTATGACTAGTCTGTTAGAGTTGCTTTTAAAATCATTATTTTCTCTTCAGTCCAACAGTAATACAGTAGGGGTCTAGTTGATGAAGTTGCAATATCATTTTAGGAGTCCTGAACAGGGGCGGACTGACCATTTGAGCACTCGGGCACTGCCCGAGGGCCCGGGGTCAGTGGGGGACCCCATGAAAGGCCCCTGGTACTTTTTTTTTTTTTTTTTTTTTTTATATAGGCTTTTTTGGGTGTGCTTTGAGTGTGGGCAAGGAAACGAGCCCCATGATCCCCTATTGCCCGGGGGCCCCATGAGTTGTCAGTCCGCCCCCTGAATAGTGCTTGACAATAAAATGTTTGGTCTCTCCCTCACTGCTCAGTCACCCCCTCTTACATCTTCTGGGATTCTTCTTCTGGTGTGGACTGTTCAGCTGTCATGATTGGACAGCCAGGTATTATTATGTATGGCTCCATGTACACGGGACACTTCTGAACGATGGATACTGACTGCTGGAAAACGTAGGGTAAAAAAAGTATGTTTAGCTGCATTTGCATACCGCGTTTATGCACGTTTATGAGTGTTTGCGTTTAGAAGCGTTTTTTAAAGATAACCTCAGGAGACCTTCCAGAATGCACTGAAAAACAGTAAAAAATTAACTATCTCAGACATTTTGAGAGAAATAGAGAGCAGAAGCAGAGAGAGCAGTATGTGTTGAGATTAGCTGTCTTTTTTTTTTTTTTGTGGTGTTTGGATGTGTTCCAGCTCATTTCTGTGCAAAAATTATTGCAGTAGTGTCTAACATATTTTCTTTCATGCGAAACCTCAAAGTATGGTGTACCAGGTCC